CATCTTATTAAGGAAATTGGAGCCTAATCTGACATGATTGAGATTTAGGCCTACTTTTTCTTCAAATAAGCACAATGTCTCTGGTTTAATTCCTAGGTCCTTGATCCACTTTGAGTTGAGTTTTGTGCATGGTGAGAGATAGGGGTTTAATTTCATTTTGTTGCATGTGGATTTTCAGTTTTCCCAGCACCATTTGTTGAAGAGGCTATCTTTTCTCCAATGTATGTTTTGGCACCTTTGTCTAATATGAGATAACTGTATTTATGTGGGTTAGTCTCTGTGTCCTCTATTCTGTACCATTGGTCTACAGGTCTATTTTGGTGCCAATGTAATGATGTTTTGGTTACTATTGCTCTGTAGTGCAGTTTAAGATCTGATATAGTGATGCCTCCTGCTTCACTCTTCTTGCTAAAGATTGTTTTAGCTATTCTGGGTCTCTTATTTTTTCAGATAAATTTCATGACTTTTATTTCTATTTCTATGAGGAATGTCATTGGGATTTTGATTGGAATTGCATTAAATCTGTATAGTGCTTTTGGTGGTATGGTCATTTTAACAATATTAATTCTGCAAAGCAAGAGCAAAATAGATCTTTCCATCTTCTAAAGTCTTCTTCAATTTCTTTCTTTAGTGCTCTGTGGTTTTCACTATAGAGGTCTTTCGTCTCTTCTGTTAAATTGACTCTCAAGTATTTTTTTAGGCTATTGTAAATGGGGTAGTTTTCCTCATTTCCCTTTTAGAGGACTTGACACTAATGTACAGAAATGCCTTTGATTTATGGGTATTGATTTTATATCCTGCTACTTTGCTGAATTTATTTATTCATATTTTGTAATTTTTAACATTTTAAAGTAGTTTTTCTTTTATAAAATTCTTTTGTAAAATAGTTATCATAACTCATGGTAATGGTGCCACCTATTTCATATGGTTATCATAAGTTTACTACTAACACCCTTACTATTTTGGGAGATTACTAGTGCATATTATTTACTATGGGTGCTAACAGCTAGTAGATAGTACTTACTAAAGGTTGGCTAAGGCGATAAGGTCTAAGAGGGTGAAAACCTACCTCCTGCCCTGATGGTGGAGGGACAGTATTCTGCAGTTAGTGGAGCCAGCCTTCACCGACTGATGATTTCTCTTGAGGTCCCTGTGTTTCTCATGGAGGTTGTGTTTGCAAGTTCACCTGTTCAATTTGGAAAACTTTTACTTTTCTTTTAATTACAGAGTTTTTCTTTTTGGTTGCATAAATTGATCTCTGGAGACCACCGTTCCACTTGAAGCCCTGCCTCTAGGGAAGCCACCGTGCTGAACCTTGGCTTCCCTCCTGCTTTCCAGCTCCAATAACCTGAAGATGAACAAGATCACAGACTTCATGTCAGTTCTTCCTAGAGGCATATGGAGAAGGCACACCGCCGCAGGCGAATGTACTTGCACACACACACACACACACACACACACAGTTGTAATCTCCATAAATTTGTTTTCTAACATTTTGAGACTGTCTGAAAAAGGAAATAACTTTTAGAAGCATTCCCACTGTGGACCATACCCAAGTCATGCACTTAAAAGTAAAGAAAACTGGAAGCAATGCCCTCAAACACTCACAAACTTCTGATACACTGTAGCGGATGAGTAGATGTTCTTTGTTCCCATTTCCTCTTTATATTCTCTCTATGGCTGTGACTCTCCATTTCTTTTCCATCTGCTTTCACTTATTGAGGAACTCATGCAGAGTTTTCTGCTTGACTAGATGGAGCCCCATTACCTCTCCACCTGTGTTCAGTCTCTGCCAGACTTTGCTGTACATCACGGCACACAGTGATTGCTCACAGTTAATCCAGCTCTATGGGGACCACAGGAGGATCTATTCTAGTGACATCCTGTAATCAAATGTTGCTTTGCACTTCTCCATCAGCCATTCACATGTCCTCTGTCATGATCACAGGAATGAAACTGATTGCAGTTTTTCTCACCACATCACCTTACTGACACGTTCAGTGCTTATTAATTAAAATATTGAACTCATGTTAATGTATTTGGAAAGGTCATTATAAAGGATTATAGTACAAACCTCCACTTTAAACCAAATCCTTTTTCTTCTCATATCCTGAAATGAGAAAGGATATGAGGAAGATATATTCTTATAAGAAATTTATCTGCACATCTACTTGCTTTCCAGTGTGCTACAAATATGTAATAATAAAAGTGAATTAAAGAACAAACTAATAAATATTTATGTCATACAAGCATCCAAACCTAAAACCTAATTAGATAAAAAAGCTTATCTTGTTTGCAGCACGGGCCTTTGTGATAAAATTTTCCACTAGCCTCTAACACACTCATCCATCACTCTATGGAAAAGTAGCAATAAAAATATCCACTCTCCTAAAGTCAGCTTTGTCAAAGCCTGTCAGTATCAATTTTTTGTTTGTATTGCAATTTGGGATTTGAAATCATGCCTCATTTCAAACTTCTACTCATAAGAGTGGATAACTTCAGTTGATTACCTTGATAACATAACATAAATATTTCTAAGTGACAACTTAGTACATACAAAACTGTCTGCAACAGGTTCCTGTTTTCTCTGTACTTCTGGCCCTTGATTTCTGAACAACTGCATAATCTTAGGTTCTTGTTGTTACTCATAAGAAAAGCAAAATCCCAGAGGTTCAATTCCTCTACCCCTCTTCCTGAACATTTGCTTTATCTGTCTGAATTCCAAGATAAGAATAAGCAACAGTGCTATTTTTAAAAGTTGTATTTTGCAATCTTTTCCCTTACTTCTGAATGCTCTATCCACATTTAATGCACAGTGACATCAGATTCCATGGGGAGTTGGCACAAGGCTGACTTTAACTGTTTTAGTGGCCAATTTGACAGTGTTGGTTGGTGCTCAGGGGTCATCAACCTATTATGTGATTGTGTATAGTTGTGTTTTTTCAATATTTTTCTTTCTCATTGGTAATAAAATATCTTTAAAAGACACTTTGTATCTATGCACTAATGTAGAGTTGTGTGATTGCAGCTGTGCCTGTCAGCACTGTAAATGAATACTTGGCCTCTGAGAGGGTGAGGGGCACTACAGTATGTCCATGCAGTTGTCCACAGGTCTTGAGAGCCGCTGGATTTCCCATCAAAAGAGGTTCACAGCTTTCCTAAGGAGAGGTGGAAGTTGTCACAAAGTCCATGAGACTCATTCCTATTAGGAGGGCATCCCAGTTATGAGTTCTCTTATCTTCCCTGGCTCATCTCAGTGCCTATTTGAACACTGGAAAATAATCATTTGCTTTCATTATGATTCCCTCCATAAAAACAAAAGGGGCTTAATTCATGTAGGTAGGATGAGTGCCTCCAGGGTGATATGCAAGGAACCGCAATGAACCCCTCTTTCCTTCACTACAGGTGGAAGTGGAAGCTGCATGGATGGGAGCAACCTGACCAGGGTCACTGAGTTCATCCTGCTTGGGTTTCAGAATGAGAAACCCGTGAACATTCTTCTTTTCTCTGTGTTCCTGCTCATGTACCTGACATCTCTGGTCGGCAACACCCTGATCATCCTTCTAGTGTGCTGTGACCGACGCCTGCACTCACCCATGTACTTCTTCGTAGCCAACCTCTCCTTCCTTGAGGTGGCCATCACCTCCACGGTGGTGCCTGAGATGCTGGCCAACACTTTCTCCCTCACCAAAGCCATCTCCTTTGTGGGCTGCCTCACGCAGTCTTTCTTCTACTTCCTCTTGGGGTCCACCGAGTTTTTCCTCCTGGCGGTCATGTCCTTTGATCGGTACGTCGCCATCTGCAACCCACTGCGGTACGCGCTCATCATGAACAGACAGACGTGCGCGGCGCTGCTCCTGGGGTCTTACGTGGGCGCCTTTCTGTCCATCCTGGCGCCATCAGTTTTAACGGCCCCCCGCCCTTCTGTGGGCCCAACGTGGTGAACCACTTCTTCTGCGACAGCGCCCCGGTGCTGAAGCTGGTCTGCGCGGACACCTCTCTGGAGGAGCTGGCGGACTTCGCCTCCTCGGCGGTGCTGCTCCTGGGCTCCCTGCTCCTGACCGGCGTGTCCTACACCTGCATCATCATCACGGTGCTCCGGATGCCCTCGGCGCAGGGCCGGCGCAAGGCCTTCTCCACCTGCGCTTCGCACATCACGGTGGTAACGCTGTACTATGGCAGCTCCATCTTCATTTACGTGCGCCCGCGGAAGGGCGGCGTGATGGACGTGAACAAGTTCGCCACCGTGCTGAACACCATCGTGACGCCCATGCTGAACCCCTTCATATACAGTCTGCGCAACGAGAAAGTGAAAGGCTCGCTCAGAGACGCCCTGGTGAAATGCCCTAGCAGACTAGGGACAA